ACAATATGAAGTACGTAAATAACAACATTCACAATTTTATTTTATTACCATCATTTGTGTTGAGTTTCATTCATTCATATATATATATATGTATTGACCCCCTTCTTCAAATTAGATATTTCGGAAGCGGGATGAACTCCTAGCACCAGCTCGCATGCGAGCAATTCAAGAGGAATTGGCGGCATTCTTTCTTGACCACGTGATCGCTGAAGACGAAGAATACTATGTGGACCATGAGTCCGTATGATTATATTTGTAAGAGATAATTATTGTATATATGTAGCCGGTAGTGTCGGATAGATATACGAGAACTTGTTGTTCGACCAATCTCTCGGAGAAGGAGAGGTGGTCGATATCACTTCTCTCTGTATGCATATATGTTCATGACAATCTTCTGTTTCCTTCGTTTGCTTACTAGCTAGCTAGCGTGTCTACTCCTCTCTATACGTATGTATAGTACGTAGCGTCGACCAAGCACGGACATAAGAGAGGACACTTCTCTCTATTAATTATAGCTAGCTAACACAATATATGAAACACCTAAATTAACCCCCCAAAACCCCCAACCCCCCCCCCCTTTCAAAAAAACAAAAACCCCAGCCACAGAAATGCTGACGCGTGGATGCCTATTGGTCCCGGTTGGTGCCACCAACCGGGACCAAAGGGTCTCCTGCCTGGGCTCCGCGCACAGGCCACGTGGAGGCCCATCTGTCCCGGTTCTGGATTGAACCGGGACTAAAGGGACAGGGCATTAGTACCGACCCTTTAGTCCCGGTTCAGGAACCGGGACAAAAGGCCCTTACGAACCGGGACAACATGCCCTTTTTCTACCAATGCACCTAGGGTGCAGGAGCCGCCGCGCCCCCGACCTCGTGCCGCCCGCGGCATGCCGCGCCGCCGCGCCACGAGGGAGCAGGAGCCGCCGTGACCTCGGCATCCTGTCATGCCGTCCGCATCATGCCTCGCTCCGCCGAGGGAGCAGGACCCGCCGCCGCCCTTCACCGCGTCCTCCGCCTCCCTCACTCCGTCGCTGCGAGCTGCCTCACCGGTCAGATCCACTCGATCTGTACAAGCCACAAGCACATCTCTCATGGGAACTGGACTGCGTGCAATCTGCCTCCGCCACGCCCCACTCCTCGCATGGCCATCGCCGGTCCACTCCACGCGCGGACGTGCCAACCTTGACACCATCTCCATCCACTTGACGACATACTCATTGTATGGACCCGCGCCACGATCTGCATGTAGCGCCGCCTCAGGTTATTACGTTCATCAAGGTAGGCTACTTTAGGTACTCACTCAAGTAGGGAGTCGTTGTTTTCCCCGTTTAGGCTAATGATCTTCATAGAAGACGCAACTCCAAATAGTTTTGCTTTATGTATGACTACAATACAAGATTTATTTGGTTAGTATATTTATTTGATTGTCTCGATGTGATCTGGAAGTGTGCTAATTTTTATGTTAGCAATTTAGCATTTTCAGGTTTGATCTGAGCTTATCTGGAGGTGTGCCAAAGACTGAAGTATCACCACTGTTGTTTCTTCGTGCACCACAGACGCTCATCGACATGCAATGGTTTTTTTCGTGCCGGGGACCGAGAGTGTGGAGCTCACGTGTATGTTATTTTTCTCAATGAGAACCATGTTGAATTAGATTACTTGAAATCTTGATTTTGGCCATGTACGTGCAGTTTCACTGGTTGTTTATAAACAGAAATCTGAGGTGGGTTTTGATTTCTGAATCTGGGAAGGGAATTAGCAAAACTTCAGAGGAAGTAGGAGACTGTGTTTAAGTATATACTGCCATCAACCTGATCGATATCTTCCTCCTTGCATTTTCAGTTGAACATTTTCTAGCACTCTAAGCAGAAAGAATTATTTGAAACAAAATGTTCATTGTACAGAAATTATTAGATGATGTTTTAACCTTAGTATTAGGGCATTCCATTGTAGAGAAACAGGCACACATTTTTTCAGAGTACAAGCTTAATCTTGTGGATGCCTAAATACAATCAATTTACCCCTATAATTGCATCCAATTTGATGTTCTTGTCAGTTGTATTATTTAGTGGGCGCGGGTTTCCAGCACCAATATAATTCCTTAAATGGGGATCTTTCTTTCCGTCTTGTGACCCCCCAGTTGATAAGCAATGTCAAGAACCACCACTGTTTCACTGCGTCAAATTATCATTTTGTAGGCCGTATATAGAAGAACTAGAGTTGAAGCTTCCTGAGTATACCAAAAGATGTCAAATCAACAACAGATGGTTCAGGAGGTAGCCTCAAAGGTATAAATTCAGCACTGGATCCTACTTCCGTATTCGTACATTTCTATCTAAAATTCCCATGAATATCATGTTAGTTGGTTTGTTCACTGTACACTGCAGTATACTATTTGCGAGTTTGTGTTAACAGTTAGCCTCTGGATCCCAGTATGACAATAATTCAAACAGACACCATGAATGCCTTTACTAAAAGTGAGAATTCGATCCTCCATTAATCATGAATGCCCTTACTAAAATTGAATGCATATTTTTTTTGGCTTGGTGGAGGCGTGGAGTGTCTGCATCGATGCACCACACTCGAATTAGGGGTCGACCACACTGAGATGGCCAAAATGGAGGCGCTGATTCGTTAGGTTTGGCTCAGCTTCTTCATTGGGAATGACTTGACTGATCTGGAACTTTTTTTTGGCCTAACAAATATCGCAAATGTTCTCCAGTTAGCCACCTCACTCGCCTTTTACTCCCTGCAATCAAGACCCCAAGACACTGGTATCTCTGTCCCCATAAGTTGATCCACCCACTTCTTCCCCCTGATAGATTAACCTACCATCTCATCAATTCGGTTCTCTATTTTGAGCATATGTGACATGTTCTGCAGGGCATTCAGTTTTGATTTTTATTTGCAAGGATTCAGTTTTTGATTTTAGTTTGTGGGGTTAATTTCCTGCTGTGAAAAACTGATATTCTTGTGTGGGGTATTCAGCTCTTGGCTTGCAAGGACTCAGTTTATGTACTTCTGCTCCTAGAGAGGGTGCATCAAGCATTGGAATGTTGCATGTATCAATTCGGTTCTCTATTTTGAGCATATGTGATATGTTCTGCATGGCATTCAGTTTTGATTTTTATTTGCAAGGATTCAATTTTTTATTTTAGTTTGTGGGGTTAATTTCCTGCTGTGAAAAACTGATATTCTTGTGTGGGGGATTCAGATCTTGGCTTGCAAGGACTCAGTTTATGTACTGCTGCTCCTAGAGAGGGCGCATCAAGCATTGGAATGCTGCATGTAGAAACCTTGACAATTTCTTTTGTACTTATTATTTTCTCTGAGATAGGACGTTGAATCTACATATGTTTATGACATTGTTTTCTTAGATAAAGGAAAGTTAAGTATTCTAAAGAAGATGAAATATTTGAATATAGATGTGACCTTAATTTTTTTTTACATTATAACCTCAGATCAGTTGATTGAATTACAAGGTGCAGGTGATCAAGTTAATGCTCCTGTAGCGTTGGCTTCTGGATACCGCATGAAGCACGTTCAAGATTAGATAGTAATTTGCATGGTATCTCATATTTTCGTCAGGAAATGCGCTATTGTTAACACAACCGTGCCAATATCAAGATGATGCACTAGATGTGTCAAATGCTTCTATGTGTCAAGTATGTATCGGACAAAATTCTCCCAAGATGAAGGCATTGCCTTTAGGAGCACTATGTCCAATGCACATTAAAATTGAACCGATTGTGATCAGTATAGATTGGTGAATTGTTCCGTGGCACCACAAGGTTATAATTGTCATTGGTCTATGTGTTAAGATTGATGTTGATTCGTGAATCGAGCGTTATTCTCATGCATGTATGACATGAACTTGTTCTAAAATCATATACTCCCTCTGAACCATATTAGTTGTTGCTCAAATGGATGTATCAAGCACTGAAATGTCTCTAGATACATCTGTTTGAGCGACAAGTAATATGGATTGGAGGGAGTACTATATGATACTTTTTCCATGTTTATTTTTGGAAACATTTGTGGTTCATCATGTAAGAACCATGAACAATCATATTATTATTTAACTTTTTTTCATTGCTTTTCATGACATTGCTTGTGCCTTGCGACAGTGTATGGCCCTTTATCAATTATAACTCTGATAAAGTTTACCTTGGCACTCATTTAGTATGTTCCTATTTTTCCTTTTTGTACCTTTTCTTTCTCTACCATGTTCATTTGTACAATGCTTAATCGCATCATAAGTCCTATGAAGTTTGCATTAGATAATAGAAACATTATGGAATATTTTGTTCCATTTTTAGTATACGCACAGTAAATATCATGTATGTTCTCTATGGAAAGTTCACCCCCTTGATTGCCTTTGATGTGTGAATTTTGCTAATTATGAACAGGGGAATTCCTGTGTACGGTTATTCGTGCGTTGCACGTGCACGCTTACTAATACGTAGTATACATGTGTATATGTGTTCATGAATAAATTTGAAATTTTCGCGATCAGGAAAAATGAAATATAAAAATGAGCTCCCTGGAGCTCGGCCTCCGTTGGCATTTTCTGATATATGACAATTAGCACAACTAGATTACTTATTAAGAGCAGCAAGTTATTTTCTTTGATGTATATGACAATATAAATTGAAGACTAACCTTGTGCCTTAGGTTTATATAAGAGTTCACATGAATTGCAGTTCTCTTAATGGAGTACTAGTATGTAGAGGTGACGTACAGTTCACATTCATCTCTTGCAGTTCGTTTTGTTTATTTGGAGCAGCCAATGTTGCAGTTCACAGAGCAGCAAATGCCCACCGAGCAGAGATATTACATGTCGTATGGTGTACGACTGATTCTACACCAAGATAATATGAACTTACTACTATATTTTTGTGCAGATGATCAATGACAAGAGTTCGAGGTCTCAGATGATTGGAGCCCATTTTACCTTAGGCATAAGAGCCACTTCCTTGCCATCACTGATGGCAATCACGATTACTCGGCCCCTAAGCTGGCTTGCCTCTCATCCTCAGAATAGTCGCAGAAGTTGTTTGTGGTCGCCCCACCCGGAAACACATTAAGCTTATCAACCATCTTGGCACAATCCTTGAATAGCTCATAGCGCCGCGCCTTCTCCTCATCATCCTTGTAGGTGCGACGGTACTTGGCCATCCACTCCTCGAACCTCTTCTTCATGGCTTCCTCCTTGTATGTGCGGTGGTACCTAGCCATCCACTCATCATACCTCTTCTTGAAGGCTCCCCCCTTCAGGGCCTCCTCCAGAACAAGATTGCGACCTGAGATAAAGGGTGAGACAAGGTTCATGATGAGGATCAACTAACAAGGCCACAGATCCAGGGGCTGGTCACTTTAATACCAACATTTGCCTTTCCAAATTTCAGCAAGCCAAAGTTGGGGCTTGGAAACATATTGCCAGCTAAATTTATGATTAGTATTTTGACAACTACTAATATAATTTGACAAGTGACATAGCCACCTAGGCATGCCAGTTTCTGTTCGCATGCCAAATATTGGCAAGGCAACGATTTGGTAGGGGACTGATCAGGCCCCCAAATGTAGATGTGTTTCATGCCTACTGGCCCCTCCGCATCCCCGTTTTGATACGATACCATATTACTAATAGGTGCAGTAATTTGCTAAAAACTTCCAAATGTGCAGCTATGTTTTTGTTTAAAAAACAGAGATTTTAATTCCAAGTAGAGTCCAATGGAAAAATCTACGTGAATAGAATTCTAATTCTATTGACTTAATCCGATTAGCTGAATTAAACTCTATCCTCTGAAGCCAAACAGTTCATCCAACATCTTACTCCTCCCTATATGGCGAGACACTCAAACTCTTTTACATGGCAAGACTCACTCTCTTATAAACAATAGCGTTGAGACTCTACTAGCCCACTATTTGATTCAAAATTTCGCTTATAGTAGTTTAATATTGGTCTAGAGAAACAAATTACTAAATCGACTGCGAGCATATTACATCAGAATTTCAATTCAATTACTCAACCTAGATACATCCAATATGTATAGGCTTAGGTTTGAAGATTTTAAATTACATTTGTCCATCTGCACGGCCATAAAAATAAAGGCACGTGCATGGCTAATAATAAAGTTCATAACAGTAAATAGCCACAATCAACACCACACAACTACTATGTATTTTCCTACTTGCCTACCAAGTTGCCCTTGCCACGGCCCATTTGATCTCTTGCAAGGTACATCAAAATTTTGGTATATATGGCTTGCTAGTCATTCCTGCATGCATATCTTTACTACTAGAGCGGATACATTTTCTAGTTTATGTCCCGGTGATCCATTTAAGAATCCAATTAATCGGTCAGTGCTCAACACTTGGAAACAAACTAATTTGAAGAATACCGAGCTTGAGGAACAGGGCCAGTAAGCTAACCATCATGAACGTAGAAAGAAACAGTTTTAGGTGCTCCATATGGACTATGGAAACAAAACTTGTACGTTCCACCCCTTGGAGCATTAAACTCGAATTTATCACCAGATTTTCCCTTCAACGTATATACAGTGTTACCGCCTCGTGAAGTTACCTATGTTCACAAACAGTATTATCAAACATGAGCAAGGTGGTCCATGGATCAATTGCTAAATGAAAGAAATAGAGAGAAGTGCATATTTCAACCCCGAACTTTTGCCCTAGTCTAATTTACAACCCCGAACTCCAATACCGTCTAAACTACAACCCCAAACTCTCAAAACCGGTCAGGATTCAACCTTTAAAACCGGTCAACTTGGTCAAAACTGGTCGAGAGGTAGAGAAGGGATGAATCCTGACCGGTTTTGAGAGTTGGGGGTTGTAGTTTAGACGTTATTGAAGTTCGGGGTTGTAAATTAGACTAGGGCAAGATTTCAGGGTTGAAATATGCACTTCTCTCAAAGAAATAAGGTACGCTAGTTGTATCAATTTCTCTATCTAGAGCGAGAAAGTGAGAATGCAGAAACTCAATTGTGAAAGGGGCAAACAAAATGTGTGCTCAAGTGAACTTAAGGATCCCGATCTGATAACGGAACTCCAGAAGAAGCTCTTCATCAAAGCATATACTTTTATGAAGCAACAATTTCCATGAAATCAGTAGTGTTGTCAATCACTAGAATCTGAATCATCCATGGACTGCACTCGCAATACACGCATGCCAAGCCACAGATACCAAAGGAGCACCCGAAATTTCCCTCAGTGGTCTGGATTTTGCACGAGAGCACCAACGAATCAACACTCCCCTATATTAAATTAATATACAGTACAAGTTACGCACTAGAACTAAACAAAAATAATGCACGTTACTAATCGCCAAATCGGCAAGCCGCAGCGCAGATCCCCGGGATTCGATGCGGGACCAATTTCAAGCCGACAGCCCCCACAGATCCGTACCAAAACAACCCATAATCGACTCAAATCAACCAGATCCTCGCATCCAAATCAAATCAAATCCGCAGGAAGAATGCGATGAGGGGGAGGGAGATGAATCGGGCGAGTACCGTGAAGTCGATGCCGGGGTCTGGGCAGTCGGAGCTCCAGAAGATGTCATGGTCAACGACGACGAAATTCCCCGACGTGAAGCCACCCTCGTAGGGCACCAGCTCGTGGATGCACTCGCCGGTTTCGGTGCCCGCCGCCACCAGCGCCACTGCCAGTACCAGCAGCATCGCCGGCGGCCACCTCGCCATGGCGGCTGGCGCGACCGTGGAGACCAGGTCTGGATTCCGGGTTGGGCGGGCGAGGCGGTGAGTTTCGCTTGGGTTCGGGAGGAGAGAGACTGAGGGCGACTGGGAGTCTGGAACGATCTCCTCTGCTAGACCTGTAGACATCACAGTCACAGGAGAGTCAACCGGGGCAGTCGGGTCGAGGTCGCCCAAATCCATGACCGATAATTAATGGCCAGCGCTGGGCGCCGGTGCGCCCGCCCAAACGTTTCGGCCGGTCCTCGTGCAGCGGCACAATTAGTGTTTCCAGAACCGCACGATTCAGCGAGCTATCCCACGCACGTCTGCTTCTTCCTCGCTTCAGATCTACCATATCCTCTGCGGTGGTTTGCGCATAGCCCCCACCCCGCCGCTCATTGGCTCACCGCCACTGCTCGGCGGCTCACCGCGGCTGCCCGCCGGCTCACAGGATGAAGCACGCTGTGGCCGCTCGCCTCGCTGGACAACTGCAAAAAATCTCTGTTTTGGCAGGTTCCAGCAAAATCAATTGCTGTTTCCAGCAGAAAAACACAAAGGCTGCAGAAAAGGAAAAAAAATGAACACAGTCTTCTCCGTCGCCACCCAGCACCTTCTCGTTGGTTGAAGCAAATCCTCTGGCCGGTTCAGCAAAAAGAAATACTGTTTCCAGCAAAAAACAAGAAAGAATACTGCAAAAAAATCAGCGCGAGCACCACCTCGCCTGTGGAAGCAATCCCATGAGCCAGCTCCAGCAAAGAAAATGCAAGTTCCAGCAAAAATCAATTACAACAAAAACACTTCCGTCCCGACAAAAAATTTAACATGCAGGTTCCAGCAAAAAATGCTACTAGTAGAAGCAAAAACTACCAATGGTTCCAGCATCCCCGTTGCCCGGTTCCAGCACGGTCACCATCCCCGCTGCCCGGTTCCAGGAAAACAACCATAGAAGCAAAAATCAGAAGAAAAAAATCTGCTTGTAGCAAAGGAATAGCCGGGTGTAGCAAAATTTGACACTAGTTCCAGCAAAATAAACATAGCAGCAAAAATCCCCAAAGTCTGATTGTAGCAAAATAACTAGCCGGTTCCAGCAAACATTTATGCTGGTTCCAGCAAAAACCACATCGCCGGTGAGCGCGCTACACCTCCAACTCCAATGGGCACGTCGTCTTGCCGGTTGCAGCAACCGCAGAGCC